ATACACGTCGCGATTGCGATCGCGTTCGCCTCCAACTCCGGCGGTGGTTGCAGGGGGGGGGGGGCACGGCGGCGTCTGCGGGCGCGTGATTTCCGAAATCCGAGATGCCACAGCGAGATTGCCAAAATCCTGTGGCTAATCTATGGAATACTCCGGCGGTTCCTTCCATATACGGAGGGAGTACTAATTACTGCACGGTTTAATTACTCGATCGCTGATTTATCGGATGAGCTAGTAATGCGGACGGATCGCTGATTTATTACCATATTCGATATTTCCCGAGTTATGGCCTTACCATACCTGGATTGATAGCCTTTAGGGTAATTTAAATTTATTACCATATAATTACCATATTCAAAATTTCCTGAGTTATGACCTTACCATACCTGGATTGATTTATTACTATACGTGGATTAATTATGATTTATTACTATATGATTTATTACTATACGTGGATAGCCTTACAATACCTGGTGGTAATTTAAATTTATTACCATATTCGATATTTCCCGAGTTATGGCCTTACCATATCTGGATTGATAGCCTTTGGGGTAATTTAAATTTATTACCATATAATTGCCATATTCAAAATTTCCTGAGTTATGACCTTACCATACCTGGATTGATTTATTACTATACGTGAATTAATTATGATTGATTACCATAAATACGTTGGGTATTGCCGGTCAGACGAGAAAAGAGAAAAACCGGTGGGAGGGGCTGGTGGGAGGTGGGATGAAGAAAAACCGGTTGAAAATAAACCGGTTGAAAATAAACTGGTTGAAAGTGGGGGGGACTATTCAACCAATTCGTCCATTAGGAATAGAGATGAGCATATACTTATTGAAAAGGTTGCAATGTTGCATGTCAGTTACTCCTATTGACCCCTTTTAAAAGGGTCAACTACATTTTTAGTAAATTTTACTTTCCATGTCCATAATCATTAGTAGTTGTCTCTCCCACTGGCCCCTCGATGTTTCGGTTTCGGCTAACTAGTGGGGAGGAGACTAGTAACGTGCATATGTTACTAGTCTATGTTACTACCTTCATAATGGGTGTAGTAACATATACTGTTGAGCTTTCATTAATTGAGCTATAGACTCATTTTACTTCGGGGGGGTGTTATGTTACAGTAACATAATATGTTACCGCAAACATCTCTCTCCTCATTAACTCCATGTCACATAAGTAAAATTGTCTTGGAATGTGTTATGTTACTACTACCTAAGTTACTCCCACTATGACTACATGCATACTCCTTAATTAATGTGTAATAATGGAGGAAGTATTATCCTTTTGAGGGGGTAAAAATCCACATCCATTGGTCAGGATTTTATTTAAACCTACCTATAGAAAATATTGTTTTTCTGAGTTGGGCCTAAAACAGGGATCGATGGGAGTAGCTAATATTTCTTTGTTTGAACACCCTTGTTTGATTGTCTAAATGTCTTGTATATGTTATTTTCGAACATACTCTGTCTGGAGATATTCGACAATGACAACAACAAGAACAAAATATTGTTTTCCCTACATGCAAGGACAAAACCTAATTTCAAAGTAAAACAAATTTGTTTTTTTATTTTATAATGAAAATGAATATACAACTAAAAAACATTTTAGCCTTGAATTGGAGAGCAATGATTGCGTGACATGTTCTCAAATATCTTTCAAATATGTATTGATCAAAATTAAATAAAATTTGCTTGGCAACACGGTATTGACAAATACAGATTACAAATCACTTTTTCCCATTAAATAATCGTTCATTCTCTTTCTCTCCCATCCGTCTAAACAATTTTTTTTACTTTACACCTAAAGATAAGGTTTGCGGCACATTGTAATGCCCGAAGCCTAAAGCTGCCATGAACCTTAACCCTTACATACAAACACTATTAAAGTCAAGCACATATTTGAATTACTTCCTAACTTTTAACATAGGATGGTAGAAACTATGAGCAAAAGTTTGTTTAAAAATCTTTACATAATATACTTGGAAAATCATACACATGATTATCTCAACAAATACGTATGCAATAAATATTTTATTTGAATTTTTAGTTGACAAGGGACACACGTTCTTACAGTCTTAAAAGTTATACACCTGCCTATAAGACGATATGATGGGAATGAATCTAGTGGAGGAGTTCGCGCCCATGGGTGGTTCAATCTTGGCATTAGGATCAAATATGGGAGCTACCTAACCGCAATCAACTGATGTAACTAGTTAGATGAGACCCATACATTGGGAAGGCAATTTGAAGCTGAAAGAACTTTGACACATTGTTTAAATGAGGACTAACCCACAGCAATGACTCGAGTCATAAAACCCAAATTATGGGGACTAGAGGTTCCATCTCACGAATTTGGATGAACTTTGTCCCATTTGGCTGATTATTTGAATGACTTCATTGGGGAACAAGTCGTCAAAATATAAAGTTATTGAAGATCTTCTTGAATTTTGGCAACACCTTTAACATTCTGGATACCTCTCACTAAATTAGTAATTATTTTTTCTACACAACCACAAACAATGCAAGGTGGTTAAGTTGGGAAATGCATTTGAAGGGGCTTCGACTGGTTTACCCCATTGTCAAGTTGCACTTCTAGCATGGTGGTGAAACAACAAAGTATACGTTAAAAGCATAGCAATATTACCGTAAGCCATCACATGCAAATGTTTTTCATTGGCTCGGCTTAGTAATTCTTTCCAACTAATTTGTGCGGCTTGCTGAAATGTGAGGTTTGTTGTATCCATGTGCTCTTCAAATTACTTTACTTAACTTAGAGGTTGTTGAGAGTATCCACGGTACATGTAAGTGGGTAGCAGCAATCTCGTGTCGGTCTCAACCGTTGGTAGTAAATTAGATGGTTCGTATGTATGAATTATGAAAGCGAACCATCACCACTACCTTGAGTGTTTATAGGAGTGAAGATATTACACTACAAAAATTAGTGATCAAAGTTGGATATGAAAATCATGTCGATATTCAAATCAAAAAACCTTTCAAGCGCGAGATGGAGTAAATAAACTAATCATGTTTTAGTGGCTAAAGTGACTAATGGGTTCCGAATGAAGCAAGTGGCTAGTGTTTTTTATTGGATATTCGTCAAAATCGAGCACCCAACCCCCCCTACAACGCCACATGCGCCTGTGCGGGAGCTGCCACTTGGTAACAATGGATACTAAAGTACTAAGAAATACTACAATAGAAACATTCGTTGTTGTGAAAATATAGAAAACCCAACTTAATCAAATTGGGGATTATGTGCGCGGATATGTTGTTGTGAAAATATAGAAAACATTCGTTGTTGTGAAAATATAGAAATATTCGTTGTTGTGAAAATATAGAAAACCGACTAGTTACAAAACTTACAAACACATGCAAGTTTGCTGTTTTGGACCCGAAAAAAAGGTTTATTGTTTTTGAGAAGAGCATCAATGGAGTTACGGAAATGTTAAAATTTTGATGTTAGATTTTTAACATTTCCCAGCTAATGCCCAGATTTGCCATGCGAAAATAGATAAATTTGCCATGTTTGTGTATAAGGACTTGCCATGTTCTAAAGTGAAAATTGTCATACAATGTAAAAATTTGTCAGAAAATCATCATGTTGCCGTGAGTAATTGCCATGCGTTCGATCGGAATCCGACGTACCTAGGGAGTCAACCCTAAAAATATGATATCGAGTGTATATTGGAGTCCTATAAAAAGTTACAAAACTTAGACCGACAAGTTACAAAATGTAAAAAATGATCTGGCTGGTGCATCTCCAATCCGATGATAAAGTTGTTCTTTTTTTCCTTTTCTTTCACCACAAATGATGCTCTTACTCTCATCGTCACTAGGGTAGTAGTGAGGGTTCGTTTAGCCCACATATCCTTTTCCGCGATGCCCCCAACTACGTGCTCGGTCGAGGATAAAATCTCTGATATATGTAGTAGCCCCGTCACAGCGGCAACTTGGCCACTTGCTCGCCTCCTTGGAGGCAGCTTGTCCTGGGTCTGGCAAGGCGATTGCTTGCTCCTAGCATAGGAGGTTTCTACATGCACAATACAGAAGGTGAAGAAGGCTGTCAGGACCATAGGCAAGAAAAGTGGCGTCATTGGTAAGGCATCACTGACTGCTTAATGAAATATACTCAGTTCCGCCATCCTCCATCTCCATCTGGCTCATCTCCGTGGATTTGGTGGCATCCGATGTATTCAACCTTGATTTCGTTGAGGGTTTCTTCGAGACATTGATGTGCGAGGGTTCGTGGTTGTTACATGTTATGTATGTTTGTTGGGTTGATCGTGGGGTCATGGAGTTTGTTTCTTAGCAAATAATTTGCACGTGTTCTGTATGATGTTTTTTCGTCCGTTTTTTGTTAATTAACTTTCTCTTCTTCTTAATTAATTGATGACCCAATTTTTTTGCCACCGTTTCAAAAAAAAAAACAGTAACCAGTACAGCATCGTAGCACTGAGAAGCAGTGTGGCCACCCAGCCACACTCCCGCTCTCCTCTCCCCCTCTCCTTCCCTGCTCTTCCTGTGGCCAGATCGCTACTCTGATCCATCCTAGTCGTAGCCGCCCTTCCTCCTCGTTGCCAATTAAAAAGCCTACGGCCCCGGAGCAACTCGCTCCGAGCTCCACAGCCTTTATTCCCCAATTAAACCTTCGATTCCAAAGCTTTTAAGATGCGGCTAGTGGCACTCCTCTCCGAATCGGCCGTACCGATTCCATTCCTAACCATTTGAGTGTGTGCGTCGTGGTAACTGAGACGGCGGCAGGCAGGCAGGCACGCAAAAGAGCGCCTCCGTCTTCCCCCGCTCTCACGTGATTCACACCCGCGCCCTCCCCCCTCCTCGCCTGCCCCGCCGTCTAGCCTATATATCCAGTCTGGCCAAGCCAAGCCCTCAGCTTCTCTGCTACTACCTCTCACTTTCTCTCGAACCTGTCCGCCTGCCACCGGTCCTTACACTGCTTACAGTCAGGAGAGTGAGCTCGATCGCTCGGCCATGGTTGAGGCGGCAGCTGTAGTGGCAGAGGAGGAGCATGACGCGGCGGTGCGGGAGTACGACGACGTCCGCGACCGCAGCGGCGTGGAGGAGGTGGAGCGGGAGTGCGAGGTGGGGTCCAGTGGCGGCGGCGGCGGCGAGATGTGCCTCTTCACGGACCTCCTCGGCGACCCGCTCTGCCGCATTCGCAACTCGCCGGACTTCCTCATGCTGGTACGTAAGTGCGTATACCGGTATACGCACGAACGCACGCTCGGAACACCGACTGGCTGCGTTTTCCGTTCATACACTGTATATCCGTTTTGCTTTTTTCCTCCTCTCGTTTAATTTCCTGTCGCTTCGGCGTTGGCCCACTCCCGCCTCTCTCGAAAACTAATTAACTCGAAACGCATGTTTGAACCGCCCTGATATGGAAAGGTCGCGGAGACAGCAACCGGCAGCGGCGGCGGCGGCGGCGCGGAGATAATCGGCCTCGTCCGCGGCTGCGTCAAGTCCGTCGTCTCCGGCGGCTCCCACTCCAAGGACCCCATCTACACCAAGGTCGCCTACATCCTCGGCCTCCGCGTCTCACCCAATCATCGGTACGTATAATCTCGTTACCATCGTCATCAAGAAAGAAACATGCAACTTATTTGAACGAACCAGACTGTAACTTGGAACGCTATGGAATGTGCGCAGGAGGAAAGGGGTGGGGAGGAAGCTCGTGGAGAGGATGGAGCAATGGTTCCGGCAGAAGGGCGCGGAGTACTCGTACATGGCGACGGAGCAGGACAACGAGGCCTCCGTGCGCCTCTTCACCTCCCGCTGCGGCTACTCCAAGTTCCGCGCGCCGTCGTTGCTCGTGCACCCGGTGTTCCGCCACGCCCTCAAGCCCTCGCGCCGCGCGTCCATCGTGCGCCTCGAGCCCCGCGACGCCGAGCGCCTCTATCGCTGGCACTTTGCCGCCGTCGAGTTCTTCCCCGCCGACATAGACGCCGTGCTGTCCAACGCCCTGTCGCTCGGCACGTTCCTGGCACTGCCGGCGGGCACGAGTTGGGACGGGGACGTCGAGGCGTTCCTGGCCGCGCCGCCGGCTTCGTGGGCGGTGCTGAGCGTGTGGAACTGCATGGACGCCTTCCGCCTCGAGGTACGTGGCGCACCCCGCCTGATGCGCGCCGCGGCCGGCGCAACGCGGCTGGTGGACCGAGCGGCGCCGTGGCTCAGGATACCCTCCATCCCGAACCTCTTCGCGCCGTTCGGGCTCTACTTCCTCTACGGCCTGGGCGGCGCCGGGCCGGAGGCGCCGCGGCTGGTGCGCGCGCTGTGCCGGCACGCGCACAACATGGCCCGACGCGGCGGGTGCGGCGTGGTGGCCACCGAGGTCGCCGCCCTCGAGCCCGTCCGCGCCGGGGTGCCGCACTGGGCGCGCCTCGGCGCCGAGGACCTCTGGTGCATCAAGCGGCTCGCCGACGGCTACAACCACGGGCTGCTCGGCGACTGGACGAAGGCGCCGCCCGGGAGCTCCATCTTCGTCGACCCCAGAGAGTTTTAGCTTCATTTTCAGTTTTCCTTAATTAGACCGTGTAGTTTTTTTTTTTTTGCTCCTCCGTCTGATCCGGCCTGCTCCTTCCAGAGCACTGTGCCGTGCCAGTGTTCCCTCCCGAACCTTCTGAGTTCCAAGGACGCAGTACATCACATTTTGCCGTACGTACGTAGAGTGCTCTCTGTTTCAACTTGTTTACGTTCAGATAGATGTGCGGTTACAGCTCTCTGCAGGTCGAGCAGAGAACATGAGCTGCTGCTTTTTTGTGCGGTTAACAGCAACTTTGTCGACAGAGCTGTGTAGTGTAACAGACCAGAGTGAAAGCCTGGCGGCCTTTTTGGTGCCTTTGGGCTGCTTTTTTTGCTTTCCGTGGCATTACTGACTGAAACTTCGGCCCGCTTCGTAGATTTGCTCCCCTTCCCCGTCTATGTCATCAGATCCTGCTTTTGTTGGTTCGATGATGAGGCCGGGACAGTGCTCTCGACTCCGGACTTGTTCTGGATTCCGCTGCGTGGTTTACGTGTAGCCCGCAGGCTTGGCTTCACCGACCGCCCCCCCTGGGCCTTGTTCGTTTAATCCTCCTCCCAAGGGGATTGGAGTGGATTGGAGAGGAATTTGGCTTGTAGGGGATCTAATCCCCCTCACAAACCACCTCAACCGAACAAGGCCCCACTGGAGTTGGAGGTCGACCGTGGGGATTCACAGAGCAGCCGACAACAGAGCAGGATAATGAGCCCGGGACATTTGCTAGTGGGATGAAATTCGATAATGATTCCCCTTTATGTCTTTTAGTACTCCGTACATAGTACTGCTACTCTGCTAGTATCTTTTCCCCCCGGCATATGTCGAGTTTTTCACACATGTTATCAGGGTGTCTGGCTCGGTTTGGTTCAGAAAACCATTGCTGCTAGAATCAGCAACGTCCAAACTGGTCTGGTCGTAAACCGAAACCGGACGCACCTAAGTAATGATTGGCCCCGTACCGTGCAATCGACACACAGAGAGTGATGCATGCTGGTAGTAGTACGATCGGGCGGCTGATACTGTTCCTGCGCTACAGATTTGCAGGTGTCATTGCCAGTAGTACTGGAACAAACTGAACTCCCTGGCAGTATGTCCAAGACTTTCCCCGGCGGCGGGTCACGGCGAATTGACTCCACAGAGCAACCAGCAGACGTGAGCGCACGGACTCCACACGACGGACGCCGGATTTATCAGGAGGTGGCCGCCGTGCGCCACATACGTGAAGATCGACCGCGATCGCTTGCTCATCGGGTCGCCGTCGTGTGTCTCCCAAGTGGATCCAGGTTAAATGGAGCGCGGATGTTCACGAGGAGGAGAAGGCCCCGGGCCCCCGGCCAGTGCGTGCACTGTGAGTGTGCCCTGGTCGACCGACTGCCGTCGCGTCCAGACGTGCGCCGTGCGTGCTGTAACTGTGCTCGTCCGTCCAGCGGTTACTGTCTGCCGACACACAGCCGCCTCTGAATTTACGACGGTGTCGTCGCGCCGGTCAGGACCGCCGCCGGATTTAAAGTCCAGCGTCTTTTACCTACTAATCATTCGGGTTCAGCCTATTCGCTAACGAGAGGAGTAGCTTGGTACCGTGGTCGGCTCGTCTGCCAAATGGCGAGCGAGCGAGCGCTGCTCAAAGTCAATAAGAGCTTACTTTTTGCATGGGCGCATGCACCGGGCCAGCGACTATAGCTACTGGGTCTGGGAGTAGTGTGATGCAACCGTCACGACCTCAGCTGTGAAACTGTTTTTGGAAGAATCATGTTACCTAAACGAAAACAAATATAAGGATTTTGTGAGAAAACCGAATGACCCGGATCCCGTCCATTTTGGATCGAACGGCGTCAGCTCATCGAGTGGTTGCAATGCGAGCGAACCACGCGGTGCCTTGTGTGCTTCTAGCCGTGCACCCCCCCCCCCTCCTCCATTCCGCGTGTCTTTGTCAGGTGGGCCATATTCGTCATCGCGCAGTTAGCCAATCGACATACGCCCCCCCCCACACACACCCACATTCATTTCAGGAGAGGGGTTGTACGAATTTTGGGTAACCGTGGTACACTTGCCATTACTCACCGTCTCACGTTCATCCGCGGCTGAATCAGCGGGACTGTGGTCTGTTTCTGCAGCGGGCGGTCAACAATGACATTCACACCCCCTGATTTCTGTTTGCGTGATCCATTTGCCCCTCCTTTCCTCTACCACTTGTGATTGTCTTTGTGTTTGCGCGGGTTTGTGGACATTGGAGCGTGGAGTGGTGTTGTTAGCTTTCGTGGGATGGCTGGTGGCAGAGGAAGTATGGGCCGAGGTCGGTTCAACCGGATTTGGTCGGTGGTGGGTGGCAGTGATGTTTGGGCTTTAGAGTTTCTAACCCCCAAGGATGATTTCAAATGACATGGTCGTTTTGTTGCTTAATCCGGCTGTGCATGATGGATTTTATTGTGTGTGAGTGCACATACTTCGGATGACAAGCAAATTTAGACTAGGGGAAGGTGGTTTTGACATTTTGTACCAAGAAATTCATTGTTCAAGAGCTTGGGATCCATGTTGCTGACAAGGGCACCAGTGAAATCATTCCACTCCCCACTCGGAAGAAACATGATTCACGCAGGTGATCTATCACTGTATTTTCACTTCCTTGTTTCAGTTTTATTTTTTGTCATTTTTAATTTTACAAAGTCACCCCCGGTAACTTGCCCTCTCTTCCGATGATAGCATACATACTATGACCTTGATACATCCCTGCATCTGTATCCTATCGCCTGCTAACTTCTTATTTTGTCCCGAGCACTAACCATTGTGAACCTTGTAACTATGTCATTTTTTATTAAATGTGGTATTACATATTTTGTTTTTTATAACTGGTTATAACATACGTAAATTTTCCTGGTAACTTCCCTTCTCTTCCGATGATATCATACATAATATGGCCTGGTAACCCCCCTTTTCTGTCCTGATAACTCCACCATTCCTTACTGGTAACATTCATAATAGGGCCTGATAACTTCTCCCATATATTTCTACAATATCGCCTATGGTATGCTAAACTAGCTTGTGTATTGACTACTAACCATACATCATGACTTATCACTACTAACTATTTTTTCTCGTTCTTTCTTGCAACTTTATCACTTTTTTCATGTCCCCAACTTACTTTGCTCACAACATTGTTTTAATATTATTTTTTGTAATCTTGAAAGATCACTGTGTTCGAGTTTATGATGTTGAGCTTGATGATGATGAAGTGGTCATGTGGTGGTAAAAGTTTGAACATGACAATCGAGCAGCAAAAGGAAAAGTTGTTGTTCAAGGAGGTAATTATCAAGTTAATTATCACCTTTTCACCATTCCAACCCCGCCAACTTCCTTTAATTCTACCATGCTAAACTACTGACCCCTGCCCATGACACCTGACAACTTATCCCACCTTGATAAGTTCCTCATACATACATTGATAACTTCTGTTGTCTCACCTTGCTAAGTACTATAACCATGTCATCCATAATGATTTGCATACTAATCTCGACATTTATTTATTTTATGTTAGTCGTACACCTTCTTGATGAACTATACAACTAAGATCATTCACAAAGCCTCATGTTTCCTACCTCAGTCTTACCACCCCCAAAGAGCATCAAGTAGGCAGTGCCATGCATAAATAATTAATTCAGAAAGTTAGGGGTACCCACCCATAACAATATCTTCTACCACCATATTCTTTCCTCACACCCAGTGTGGATGAGGAGGCTATTTAGTATCAAACATACAAGTGGTTCCACCTCCAAGATTAACGATGACTATTTGTTTTTTCTTTTTTCTCATAAAATATATTTTTGTATTCCTCTTATACGTTTTTTCCTTCTAACCCAATGTCAGGGGTTGTTGACATTGATGGAAGGTGGGTAACGTTTCGTGAGCTTGTTGACTCTGTGAAAGAAAGGGGGCAAATTTCAACGATTTTGTTGAGTTACATATTTGTATTCTTCAGTACATAGAACTTCCAAATAAGATTATCTTCCGTTGGTTGTTGTCCGTATATATGCTTGTAGGATGAATAGTACACTCTTAATCACCAGAATGAGGTACTATTTGTTTGCCGGAATTTTTATATCTTGAGATTTTTTTTGCTGCCATAAACATGTTACAATCTTGGCAAGTTATTGTTGTGTTTGTCACACACACCTCTTCCCCCAATCATGATAACATTACTAGCCCAACATTGGTAAGTTTCCCATTACTGCCCCGATAACTTTAGGCTTTTCTTGTGTCATACAATCTTGATAACTTCCCAGCTAAAGCACGAATGTTTTCAACATGCCTTTTTGTATCAGTTCCCTTTACAATATCTTATATTTCCATCTCTACCAAATTGGATAATTTTTTACCATGGCATGTTGATGCCATGTCACAACACCATGACAAGTTTCATGATTTTTAGGCGAGTTTTGGATTTACAGGAATTTTAAAACCAAGTTTCTCAATGTTTTTGACCGAGCCACAACGCCCAGATATTTGAAATTCATTCTCATTTCTTGCATGTGACTGGGACCTAAACATTCACTCAAGGACACATATATGATTTTTTGACCCATTTTGATGCACTGGAGCATGCCTATAGTTCAAATTTTAATTATGCACATTAAATGTCTAGAAACTCAAATAATGTATAAAATGGCCAAACAAATCCTGAGTAATTTCAAATTGTAAGACGGCGCTCCTATAGTTGCATGTTGCCTCCGTAAAATAAATCAAGGCGGGAAGAGGCAGCGTATGTCATTTCACACATAAAGGCGACACGTTCCCTCTCAGAACCATGAGGCTTCCAGAGAGAAGCTGTGATTTGTAAGAAGTTTATATCAAAACTTGTCCCAAATCGGAATTTTTTTTACCACAACATGTTGGTGCCATATCATAACACCATGCCAAGTTTCATGATTTTCAAGCGAGTTTTGGATTTATGAGAATTTTAAAACCAAGTTTTCAATGTTTATGGTCGATCCACGACGCCTAGATGTTTGAAATTCATTCCATTTCTTGCATGGAACCTAAACATGCACCCCAACGACACATATACGATTTTTAACCCATTTTGGTGCAGTAGAGCGTGTGCCTGTAGTTTAA